ATACACACATATATATGAACATAAAAGAATTTGATGAACATGGACACACCTCCAAGAAGACACAGAAAAAAATCGTGACAATGACATTGGTGAAGAAAAGCCTTTATGATGATGTGGCACAACTACCTTGTACATTTTTAGATAAACTGGTCCAACAGAATGTGAGGACTAAATACCCATGAACGAACTATTGAAATATAACCACCTGAATAAGAGGCTTTAAAATTCTTCAACATTCTCTGTTAAACATTGCAGTGAAAGGGAGAGACATCATAGGATAAAGACCTACTGCGATACAAAATTATGTTATATCATTGTGTTTTGTTGTAATATCATTTGTATCATATATATATAGATATATATATATATATATATATATATATATATATATATTATAGATAGATACATAATAATATATATTATATATTATATATATGTACATGTATATGTGTGTGGGTGTGGGGGTGTGTGGGGGTGTGTGGTGTGTGGGTATGGGTGTGGGTGTGGGGGGGTGTGTGTGGTTGGGAATTAAAAAAACAACCCATTATTATATTATAGTCCACATACCAAACTGAGTAACTGCAGGTGAGCGGTAAGAAAAAGGTTGCCTCTCTTCAGCCATGCATCCATTTAATCGGTCTGCCATATTGGTAGTATAAAATTAACTGCCTCTGTAACGTCTCCTCCTTTTATGTTTGCATCTCATCCTAAAATAGTAAAATATAACGGACTGTATTGTTTAAACAAGAAACAACAATTTAAAAAACCCACCAATAACATGTTTTCGCGACGAAAAAAAACGTATACTGTTGGCAAACCGTTCAACTGTGAAAACATTTGTTTTGTTTTGTTTTTAGGAGAGAGGAATTAAATTAGTTCACATTTTTAAAAGTTACCTGAATTATGCAAATATCCTTTTTTATTTCTTCTTCTCAAACTTTAAATTTAAATCAACTTGAAATATTATTTAAAAATTCGAAAAATAGCAACACACAGCAAGTGATACAACTAATTAAAAAAGAAAAGAGTTTAAATTATTTTGAGCAGTTGGACAACCATAATATCGTTATTCACAGTAGCATAAAAATAAGTGAAGCATGTTTATTATCTTCATTTAATAGATACATTTGTAGGTAAGTAAGTAAATAAGTAAGTAAGTAAGTAAGTAAGTAAGTAAGTAAGTAAATAAGTAAGTAAGTAAATAAGTAAGTAAGTAAGTAAGTAAGTAGGTAAGTATGTTCGTAAAAAAGTAAGCAAGTAGGTAGAAACATAAGTAAGTAAGTAAGTAAGTAAGTAAGTAAGTAAGTAAGTAAGTAAGTAAGTAAGCAAATACGGATGGAAGGAAGTAAGGAGGGAAGGAAGGAAGAGAGTGAGTGTGTGAGTGAGTGAGTGAGTGAGTGAATGAATGAATGAATGAGTGAGTGAGTGAGTGAGTGAGTGAATGAGTGAGTGAGTGAGTGAGTGAGTGAGTGAGTGAGTGAGTGAGTGAGTGAGTGAGTGAGGAAGGTATGGACGAAGGAAGGGTAGAAGGAAAGAAGGATGGAAAGAAGAAGGGAAGGAGAGAATTAAAGAATGAATGAAGGAGGGAAGAGAGTGAGTGAGTGAGTGAGTGAGTGAGTGAATGAGAAAATGAGTGAGTGAGTGAGGGAGTGAGTAAAAGACTAAGTAAGTAAGTTTAAGTACGTAAATGTTTTGTTTAGTAAACAGTGTCAGAGTGAGTCGGCAGGGATACAACATTTATCTTTGACGTCTCAAATTGAACAATATGTATATATTCTTCTCACTGTTATTAATCGAATATATTTCAAAGAAGTATCAAAGACCCACAGCTCTCTTGAGCTTATAGAGATTTTTTAGTTTCACGCTGTGTATGTTTGTCTGGTTTTTTTAAAAGAGTATACAATGGGGCTAAGCCCGTTTGTGAAGCAAGTATACAGTTTTTACACAGGTGTCCATTAAATCTACAAAAACGTGATTCCGTTACGAATTGTCACAAAGGGATACGTGGGCATATTTTTTAAAGTTCGGAAACTACCTTTTTATTTTTCCGGTTTGATGTTTTTCATTAAAATAGAAGCTCTTGAATTGTTTCACTCTACCTTTAGTTATTTCATACTTTTCTGGGGACTACTCCGGTTTCAGTTCGTGCTTCGTCGTGTACGTGGGACAGCAGCGGCCTCTACTATTTCCACATCTAGAATCTTGATATCTTACTCTGTTTGGATGTGTACTTCGCAGTGTCGATGGATAGATCTACTTCAAGCCAAACATTGTGTTGAAATAGACCAGTATGAATTCGTTTTTTTCAGTTTTCTCAAAACTATTATTTTCTTAGGGGGGTGGGTCACCTACGCGGAGATATTTCTGAAAGTACATGTCACAGCTCAATCCTACTTTGCATGACTGTTTCTAGATAATATGTTTGCAACGTACTAAAAGATTATTGTGATATTGTTATAAGTTTTCTGTCAGTGTAAAAAAGACTGACGGTATCACTCTGATTTGTGATCAATTTTTTGTCCGAGTATCATATATGACACTAAAAGGGCAGTTACAAGAAAAGTATGAGACTAAGGAAAGTAAATCTTTAGTACGTTGCATGTAGTATATTCAGAAACACTGTGTGAAAATATCAAGGCTGTATCAATTCAATCTTTTTCACAATCCCCGCGTAGAATTTGAGCCAATTTTGGTCTGTCGAA